CCTTTCTTATTTATTTCTAATGATTCTTCAAAGCAATTCTAAAAGATTTGTATCACATTATAAAAATTCAATGGTATTGAGAAAAGAAATTCAAGTTGATATAATTTTTTCAAATTTTCTTTTTCAGATACTGGATCTGATAATCTTAACCAAAACTCAAACTTTTAAGTAGTTATATATTTCAAATAATATTTAGTTATGTTATATTTTATTATAACAAAACATTATATTCATTTACATATAATACCTTGGATTGATCTTATTCAAATAGTATGATTTCAGCACAACTAGTATAAGAAAGTATTACTCTTCAGGCTTGAATTTTATATTCATTCATTTGATAGCATAGTAAATAGATTTTTGAAGGGATGTATAAAGTTCAATTATATATTATACTGATTTTTTTATTTCAGAAAATATTTTGCCAATTAATTGTTGATATTATTCATTTCTTAAGATAATAATCAAAGATTTCTTGTAACAAAGCTTTATTATCCTAATTGTTAAGCGTACAAGATAGAATTCGTAAAGATGGAATTAATTTTATGTATTGTAGTTATTCTAAATAAAGCATTTTATTAAATTGTAAAAAAGTGCCCAAATATTTGTCAGATTATAAATCTTGATATTATATTTATTATCATTTATCTCTTGTATATATAAAAAATGTGTTTTACTAATAACATAAATAAAAGAAATTTAAATTTAAAACCTGAATTTTTCTATTCATTATTTTCTAAAGCTCTTAATGAGTCAAGTTATTAGTCAAGTCAAGTCAATAAATTGACTCAATTCATTTCAACTTGAATTGACTCAATTGATTCACATGAATTTATATTACACAAATTACCATTTGAGAATTTTGTGTATCATGTTTTCAAAGAACCAATTATAATTTCTCCTTTATTTACAGGTGATAATAAAGACCCTAAACTAGAAACAATGCCAAAACGAAAGGATTTTAAAAGTGATTATTTTGAAGATTTTCCAATTTTTCAATAGCCAATAATTTTCTTTTTAGAAATTATATAACCATATATCCATATTTAGCATTTTATATAACTCAAATTAGTGGCAAAATACAATCCTAGAATTTCAGAAAATATATCAGTTACAAAGCTTAAAATGAATATTTTTAACACATTTTTTTAAATATTTCAGCGTTCAGTGATCTATTAGAAATGTAACACATATTGTTTTAATGAGCAGATTTTATGAAATTCTGATCAGTAGACCTTAAAATAATGGCCTTCAAAGCAAAAAATCAATTTTTAACACATTTTCTTGAATATCTCAATGTTCAGTTGATCCATTAAAAATGCAACACATATTATTTTGATGAGCACATATCAGTAAACACAATGATACAGATTTTATAAAATTCTAATTAGTAGATCATTAGATATTAACCTCTAAAACTTTAATATAATTTTATTATTTTATTATTTATATAATCAGCAAATATATTTATAGGGTTTTTATTTGACTCGAGTTGAATTGAATCAAATTTAAGTATAACTTAAGTCAAGTTGAATTAGAGTTTTAAAATTTTTTGACTCGACTTGACTCAAATTTTTTGAATTGAGTCGGGTTATCTTTAAAACTCAACTCAACTCAACTCATTAGGAGCTTTAATATTTTCTGATCTTCTAATGCCAAATACTGCTATATGTAAAGATCCTAGTTATATTTCAAAAGGATAAAAAGGAATTTTTTGTAATAATTATTGCATTACATATAAATTATAAAATCCCATTACTAAAAGTCTAGAAAATTTGGTTTTAGTATTAAAATATTATTGATAAACCATAGTAATAGCTTAAGATAGTAAAGAAACAACACCACTTATTTTGCTATCATATTTGTAAATATAATACAGTTGGAAGGTATTATCTTTATTTTTATTTACATTTAAAATAAAATCACATTCATTAAGAATATTAAGGGTTTTTATTTTGAATTAATAAAGTTACATCTTGATTAAGTTCTATCTCTTCTCTTTCCCACTAATTTTATGCAAAAAATTTATAGTATAACTCTAAAATAATAGTTCTTTTAGAAATAAGTGTGGTAATGTATTTTTTTATTTTAACATTATGTAGAAAGTAAGATTCCAGCATGTAATTAAAATACTATATAGTATTATTCTTATTTAACATTAATTGTAGATCATTAATTATTCTAATTGTTACATAGATCTCGAATTAAATATTTTTATTTTTATTAATTTCATATATTATTAAATTCTTTATAATAAATTTCTTAAATTAAAATTAAATTAAAATTACATAATAATATTATTTTCAAATTTGTAATATATTTCACAAATTATCAAATTCTTATTATAATGATATCGCATCTATATAGAATTGATATTGATATTTATATCTTAATGTTAGCAATTCAATATTGATTTGATATTAATGATTTGATGTTAATTTAATATAGTTACAATATAGTTACAATATAGTTAATAATATAGAATCAAAGTCGATGTAATATTGTAATGATATATTCAATCTATATCGTGATGATGAGGATTCATTATAGTAACGATATTGATTTAATGCAGAATCTATATCATATTTTATATCATTATGATATGGATTCTACATCAAATCAATATTGTAATAATAAGGAATTGATGTATAATTTATATCATAATAATAAGAAATCAATGTATAATCCATATCATAACGATATCATTACTATAACGAATTTCTTATCATTACAATATAACAAATGATATAGAATTCATATCATTATGATAATGTTTTGATATCAAATTCATATTGTAATGATATATATTTAATATCAATTTGAGATTATTACGATATAGATTCAATATTTTTATAGATCTATCATTATGATATTGCATCAATCTCGATTTAATATTGTTAATCAAATGATTCACATCTTCAAGAATTGCTTAAATGTATTTGTTTTATAAATCTCACTCATCCTGAATATTACTTCGCATTTGATGAAGCATTAGAAAGGTTTAGTGTAACAAGTTTGTAAAACAAAATTTTGGGAAAAAATAATAGATAATGAAAAATTAAAGTTGCAAATAAGCTCAATATAGACAGAATAATAGCGATTAGAATTATTAATGTTAGAATATATAGGTAATATAGTTGCAGCTAAAGAAAAATAAGCAATATAATCATGAAAGGTTGTATTATAGCAGTTAGCTAATAAGTTACTCTCTGCTTTTTCTTTAGTAGATCCAAAAATACATGAACTTTTTTTAAATGCATAAGAAATAACTTCGATGAGGTTTTCAAAATATTTACATGTTATGATCTTGGTATATTCTGACTCATTGCAATTCAACACTAAGATGTTTATAAAATTGATTCTCAGAATACAAAAAATCATCGTAAATGCGATGTAGTAGTGTATAAGTTATCAGAAAATCAAAGTAAAGAAATACCTTAATAGACGATTAGGTTGAAGATAATAAAATACAGCAACAAGAAGATTTGGCTACTGAACATAAATGTTAATGCAGACATACTACAGATAATGAAAAAAAGATACTAGAAAATTTATTTAATTTGATATAACTGTTGAAATTTTAAGGCAACTTCAAGATTTTAGTAATGATTTGGATGTGTAATGTGTTCGAATATATTAGAATAATCATTATAAGCGGACATGATATTGCCATTTCTGATTTTTAACTCAACCTTAACACTAAATTTTTTTATTGTTATATGTATTATTAGCATTAGTTTCAAGTTAAAAAAAAATTATCATTATTTAAACATTTTGTCATTTATTTAACATTAAAGAAGTTTCATACTAAGTCAATAAAGTACAGTCTTTTAAATGAAATTAGATTTATATGTGATTTAATCGGCGCTACAACTTTAAAAGATTAGAAATGCCGAATTTGTTTTATATGAAGAAACTGCTAAATCGAACACAAAAGTTAATCGTAAACTTTATCCATTAAGTATATAATTCTAAAATTCGGTAATTATACGTAAATATATCGGCGCTACAACTTTACTTAGAGTTAAAATGTAGATTAAAAATTCCTATTTTGAGTTTTATATAAAGAAACTGTTAAAAATTACTGCGTCATATGATTTTTATTTTAAATTTTCGATAGAAGATTCTTTAAAACTATTATTATTATATAATATTAATAAATAGACTTTTAAAAAGAAGAGGTCTTGGTTATATTTATGTTAAAATAGCAAGAAGTTACAACAATTAGATTTTGGTATTAGCATATAAGCGAAATTGATGAATTAGCTTTTTTATATATAAAAATTGTGAAAATGCAGTGTGCCGATCTCTTAATTAAAGCAATTCCCCACAAAATTAAGTGACAAAATCTTGTTTACAGTATTATCACATTTTTTGAGTTTTTACAATTCGTGACATATCCTGAGACCGTTATAACAATTTAAAAAAATTAAAAAATTTTAAACCTTAAAAAATGGCATCTTACAACGATATCAAAGAACAATTAGGAAAGGCCGAGAATGAGCACAAAGACGCGAAAAAGCAGTTAGAGGAATGGAAAGAGAATTGGGGGGAGAGGCTGAACCAGTTGTGGAGAGGAGAAGCAGAAAGACGTGAAGGGGAGTTTGATTACTTAATAGAAGAAAAGAAGAGGTTGACAAAGTCGGTAGAAGATAGGTTGAAACAAATGGAGAATTTACAAATTATGTTAGTTAACTTTGGCAAAGGAGAAGAAGGTAATGAACAAATTGCGCAAAAAAAATATACAAAAAATTATTTTCCATTCATTCCATTTCGTTTATTTATTTGGTATATCGTTTACAACCTTAACTAATTATGCTTTATGTATTTTAAAAAATCCTTTCAAGGTAAAAAATTTTGTGATAAATCTATTTCAAAATTTGGCTTTGCATATCATGTTGCTAAATACATTTTTAATTTGTCATTGCTTTACAAGCCCATGATGAAGGTAAATTTTAATAATTCATCAATGATCACATTTGAACTTATATTCTAATCAGATGATTTTTTTTAACACAGATTACTTTTTTGCTCTGGACATATTAAAAAAAGAACCTGATTTTATTCCAAGTCCTGATAGTTTAAAGGATTGGCTCCAACAACCACCCAATAGTCCAATTAAAGTTAAACCAGAAATATATGATGCTTACTTTCGTTCACAAGTCAATCCAATTTTTCTGAACAAAATCTTTGTTAGCTCTCCTAATGCTTCTATAAAATTATGGATTGAATTTATCAATGGCATTGTTACCCCATTTCAACCAAGCTTCACTGAAGATTCATATCATCCACTTTGGCAACAAGCTATATATAATCCCATTAAATTGGGATGTAAAGATGGAACTTACAACAGAAATTCATCTTATAATACATCAACAAAACAACTTCGTCCCGATTTTTCTTTCTTAGTATCAAATGTTTGTCTATTTAGGGGTGAAGAAAAAGCACCTAATAATGCTGAAAATCCTGCAAATGAACTTACTTCTAAATTAATATGGACATATGGAGAGTGTCCATATATCTTTGGTTATTATGCAGTTGGGTTCATGGTTACATTTTGTTATTTGCGGAGGAATAGAAATTCAGTTGAACGTATAGATATCAAAACATGTAATTTAGAAAGATTGGATGGTCGAATTGAAGCATTCATTATTGGAAGAAATATTGGACGTTTATTACCTTTACTTCGAAAAACTGTTCCAGACTCTCTTCAAGAATTTACTATTATTCATCGAAATAATGGTAAAATAGTTGAATTATTGCAAAGTGTTGTTATAAAACGTTATAAATCAGCAGAATTAGTAAGACATATTATGGACTTATATGATAAAATGAAACTTCATCATATTCCCTTTATTGATTCTTTGGATAAAGTTAAGATCGAAGAACAATCAGTACCATTTGTTATTTTATCACCCAAGGGTATAATATATAAACCACAATCAGAAAAACAACTAGTAATAGCATTACATTGTGTATTGACTGCAGTTAAGGTAATTTTTTTTAAATTTTATTATCTTTAGAAGTGTAATATTTGTTAATATAGATTTATTTATTTTAAGGCTTTCCATGAATTGAATATCATGCATCGTGATATTCGCTGGGAAAATGTAATAAGATATATTGATAAGGACAGATGGTTCATAATTGATTTTGATGAGGCATGTAATTCTCCTTCAAGTATTTCTTATACACAGCTAGATAGAAGAAGCCATGCACCTGAAATTTTTAGTGGAAGTCATAACAAAAGTGTTGATATTTGGTCTATTGGATATCTGATATTACAAACTTCTGTGAAATCAGAATCATTGATTGGATATGCAGAAAAAGATTTAATGATAAAAGATTCTGAAAAAAGACCAAAAGCTAAAGAGGTTTTAAAATGGTTATGTGATAGATATAAAGATATTTTACAAGAAGAATTTTTGATTAGCAAATATTGATATGATAATGCATAATGATTTTTATGGGTTTATTAATAAGTTATTATGATTATAATAGATATTTGCTTTTTTTAGAATAAAGTAAAAACTTAAACTTATAAATTAAAAAAAAAATTCTTTTAAAATGTTTGATTAATATATATGTTTTAAGTTTTTACCATTTCCAAATTAGTTTTTTTAAAAAAAAAAAAAAAAAAAAAAAAAAAATATATATATAATATTAATATTATATTAGATAATTTTTAAATGCTTTTATAATTATTTTTAGCTTTGATAAAATGACTTTAAATAAAATAATAAAATTTATATATAGGTTATAGGTATATAAAAAGTAATAATAAAAATAATAATTATAATGATTTTAATGAATATGAAAAGACAATTAGTATTCAAAAATTTTTAAGAAATTATTTGCAGAATTAGGAAATTCTTTAAGTTTTTAAGATATATTTCTAATGATATAAATTAAAGCAATAAATAAATAATTAAATAAGTATTAATAAATGCCTTAAAAAAAAATCAGATCTAATAAAAGAACTTTTTATTAATTAAATCATAATATATTATTTTGCTAAAATTCTATCTTAATATGCTAAAAATTGGTAAAACTTTAAAAATATCAGAAATTATTGATAAATAATATTTTTTCAGTAAAATTTATAGTATTATTAAAAAAAATGTCTTAATGAAAAAAAATAATAGTTGATAAATTATTGTTAAAATAATAAAGAATTTTCATGAAAAATATGTAGATTATCAAGTATAGAAAGCATTAATAGAATTTCTTAATCATTTATATTCTTATCAACTGAAATGAGTTATAAAAAATACATATAATTGATTTGAAAAAAATAGTAATTTGAAATTCTTAAAAAATAATACATTCAAAAAGATGTAATATCAATTAACTTCAAAAATTCAAATTATAAACTGAAAAACCAATTTGTATAATATTTATTAATGTTTTTAAATAATTTATATTATAATACTTGTTAAAAGAAAGAAGTCAAGGATTTATTTAAAAAGGTTTAAATTTAAAAAATAACTATTCAAGATAAAATTAGAAAAATATTATTATAATTAGATAATTAATTACTTTTAAAATTTTTAATTAATTAATTATTTATTTTATAATAAATATGATCAATTAAAATTGATTACTCACATTTAATCAACTAATTTAATTAATAAATATAACAATTAAGTTTAAATTGGTTGATTAATTAATATAAATTTTAAAATTTATTTTAATATACAAGTATTAATATGATAAAAAAGTTTTTATTTATTATTTATTACGTATTATTCAAGTTATTTTATTTAAATAAAATTAATATATTTTATATTTCCTCTAAAAAAGTAATTTACTTATAGTTATTAGCTTGAATCTATTTCTTTTAAAGCTTATTTAATTGCTTATATTGCTAAAAAGTTTTTCAAATAGTACTGACATCTGGAATTTAAATAAGTATAATATTCTGTAGATTTATGATTTTTGTAATATTTCAGAGTAATGTATTATAAAATTACACAAGTTTACAAGGGATTATAGATCATATATTTTATGTAATATTACAATTAAAATTCTTTGTAAGGTTACTGTATCATAAGATTTATAAAACATTATAATGAAATTTTATATATATACTGTATTATAAGATTTATGAAATATTATGATGAAATCTTACTTAAAATTACAAGCTTGTAAAATTATAAAATATTACAGTAAAATTCTACATAAGGTTACAGGATTGTACAAAATCTTATATAAGGTTACGATTTTCTATCATAGATTTAAAATTAATAATGCATATGTTATTAATCAAAATGATACAATTTGGCTAATAATCAGATGTTTGAATTGTATTTGAATTTATATTGAATTACATTACAGCTAATTTCATAATTTATGGATCACTAATAAATTGCGACTGAATGCAACTGAAAATATTTTATAATAAAATTACTATAAAATATTGTAACTGAATACAACTGAAAAATTCCCTATAAATAATATGTATAAGGAAAGTATACAGAAATAATACGTTTAAAAAACATATAATAAACATAGAAAAACAGTATAATAAATTTGTAAATATTTCCGTATACTAGATACTGAAAATCATCTTTTTCCGTATGCAAAACATACGGAATTTATATGTCTAATCAGTATAATATATACGTAATTTTTGTTAAATTTTATACGTTAAATCTGTATATTGTATATGTTATTTTTAGTAAGATTTTATAGTATATTATAAATATTTCCGTATATTAGATAATTAAAATCGTCCTTTTCCGTATGCAAAAAAATACAGAATTTACGTCTAAACCGTATATTGTATACGTTATTTTTGGT